TTATGGCGTCCAGTGTGTCAAGGTTTAGTATCTATGATGTAGCTCAATGCAGTCTTTTTTACCTTGACTTGTACAATGTATGAAATGATGGCAAACCAAGACATTTCCAATGATTGAGATCAGTAATTATGATGCTGATGAYTTCCAGAAGAAATCATGTCGTGTCCGTCATCTCTAAATTATTTTCATGATGAAAGCATTGTTGGCGAAAAGATACGATTTATTCAACATCTGCAGGTGACCTAAGATTAGACAAGATAAGACAAATCCAGMCTAACTACTTAAATCATTTTATCTAAACTAACAGATATGATACATTAACGAATTGGCTAGAACATGTGGGCAAATTTCCATTTTGTATTGAAATTTCCATCAATTAATATTTCATTAAAGTTCTTGTTCTTTCAGGCGCAAAGCAACAAGCRTAGGTTGTGAGTTATTTTCATTATGCGCTAAATCCGTGTTTCTTAAACTGGCAGACATTTGGTAAAAACTTGTAAAATTTTCTCTTAATAGARTTTGCTGTTTGCATTTGAAAGCTCTGCGAAACCCATTGCGGAATGATTTTAGAAACAAGAAGTAAACAAGAGGATTGAAAGCGGAATTAAACGTCATTAATATTGTGATAATGTCTAAGTATACAGATTTWAAAAAAACAATGAAGTCATCGATAACCAWGGCAGTGTGRGGGAAAACAATGCAYACGTAGAAAGTTATWGTAACTACAATAATTATGGCGATWACTTTTRTRCTTGCTTTCGCCCGTGCTCTTTGGGCTTCGGCTTGAWTTCCAAGGACWCCATCCTGCAGCTTCAAAGCGCGAATAACTCTATAATAAAAAAGAACCATAGKAACSGAAGGTGCAAGATAATTTGTTACCAAATATGCCATCGCGTGAAAGCGAAAGTCATACCATGAGGGGAGGTCGTCTTTGCAATAAATTCCTGGAGGATCGTACTTAACGAAAACCACAAAAAATATCGTTGATGCAAATCCTCCAATCCAGGCAAGAAGTAGAATCCACTTGAGCCTTTTCATAGTTGATGAGGCGCRGTTAAGCCTTGAAAGAGGATYCACAACAGCCTTGTACCGRTCGTAAGCCATTATTGTTAGAAGAAAGGGCGTTATYGCACTTCCAAACCAGTAAGATCTTTCGATAATACACAACACTTCAGAGGCGTTTGCACTTCGATTGTGGGCCAATTGAAGAATTGGCGATGGCCCCAAAACGCCTCCAGAATCATTAGCGAGAACAAAGAATATGGTAAGAAAACCAATCATGGCGTCAAGTATGGCAAGATTTAGTATGATGTAGTTCATTGAAGTCCTCATGACCTTCACTTGTACGATAATATGGCAAACCAAGGCATTTCCAATGATTGCGATGACGGCGATAGCGATGCTGATGATTTTGAGAAGGGAAAATGTCATGTCGGTCATCTTCCAGTGAATTTTACCTTTACGTTTTCTTATATAGTGTCTTATTGGAAGAACATATTGCATAGYGAAATATTACATGGTGGACATTAATTGTCCTATTACATATTCATTGAATTTTCTGTTTGTAAATTATATAATATTAAAGAATTTGCATTCAGGTTCGATTCTTGTCTTAAAACTGAACATGTTGGTCGAGAACTGGTCAAAGTACATATATGTATGGTCTGTATGCATATCCTAGTTTGTATTTTTGGGCTTAGGAGGCATTTGAAGAMATCAAAATAAAGATCTAGAACGTTTTTAATCTTAGAAATAAAGTTTAATATCACAGATGTTTTTTTAGTTTTATAATTGTCATGCACTTTACAAAGCCGATTAACAATTGCAACTCATGCATACGTAATGAAGATAATTAAACCAAGGTAAAGCACTGCTGTTATGGGTTTTGGTAAAGAGGATGGATAATTGCATTAAATGTATAGTATAGAAAACTACAGAGGAAATTTCATAAATGCACATGAATATTTCAAACCCAGAAAGCATATGGAAAAACTAGGCCGTTAACAGAATGATAACCAGAACAAAAGCCTTCAAAGATCATTATGTGATATTTTAAATGGACATAGCATCCCTTTCAATCTTTTGCTTACTCTTTATTATCACTTTATACTATATGAATAGAGATACTGTAGGATTAGATCTTTGAACCGATGGATGGAAACGGATATTGCGAATGGATATTCGAAGTCACCTCCTTTTCCATGTATACCTATTTCAAAAAAGGTTGTCGGATAAAATGCGAATGTCAATTGTCGAACGGCGATTTCACGACCGAAAGTATCCATGGGTTTTGCTAATTGATGAGAAATAACAACTGATATATACTGTAAGATAGTGTGGTCAACATTGGATCCATTTAGTCTCCATTTCCATGCATGGTGAATTCCAATATTTGGCATTTTGTTTTTCAAAACCAGTGTGACCATAGTTCCTTTCAGTCGTCCATTCTCCCTTCGACAATCGCTTTTCGCTGTTCTTCCCGACAAATTTGTTTGAAATAAGACTATTTTTTTTTGAAATAAGTCTATGAAAAATCTAACACACGATCGCATTGAATGCTGGTGGCCCATGTCCCTTTAATATTTTTTTTCGAATTTTATCCCTCTGCCCGTGATTCCTACCTGCTTAACAATATTACAATCTCGAAGGAAACTGCCTTTTTAATGTAGTGCTTTGTATTGCGGAACGTGTTTGATTTTCTCGAATATTTAATATCACATTAAATGGCGACCAGTTCTCAAAAGTGGAGAATTCTCAACAAATCAGGGTAAAAATAGTCAATGTACAACGAGGCCATTTTGTGCAGCAAATCTAATGGTGGTTGTCGTCCTCGCAATTTTCATAGCCCCTAAAATATCGTTTTAACACATTCTTTGGAGAAATTGTACAATTCTATTTCTAGGACTATTCAGTTCTTCTTTTTCTTTTAAGGAATAGTTGGGCAGCCTGTGGTTAATTGTATTCTTGAGCGCGCACGTGCTGTTTCAAACTGCGCGTGCAAATTCCTAGCGCTTCTCGTTGTGACGTCACAATGCTAACGGATGAACTATAAATGATGCAAGATTGCAATGGAAAACACAGAAATTCAGAAGGATGAATTACCCAATGGAGACACAAGCATCCAACTGCATGACAGCACAAACACTACAAGAGAGAAAAATCAGACGACAGATGAAACTAGAGCGACTTATTGGGACAATAATAGCTACTTTACCGACAAAGTCGACAGGAGAAATCACTCTTCTCCCCCTTCGCCGCCTATGATACACAAATACTCGAATGCTTACGAGGAATATCTTGCGGCTCTTAAAAAAACTAGTCCGGAAAAATTTACACACGTTACTGCGCTACCAGAGACGATTCTTCTCAAAATCTTTTCGTACTTAACAGAAGAACAAGTATGTAACATGGCTCGAGTTTGCCAAGAATGGAGGCGTGTAGCGTACGARAGTTCACTATGGAGAGAGGTCGATCTTCGACGATTCCATACCTTGTTGGACGAGAACGGTCTCGCAAGGTTAATTCGAACCCGTATGACTCCATTGCTTTATAAAATCAATCTAGGGGGTCTCAGTTTGACTCCAAGAGTGTTCCACGTTCTTGCTTCAGATTGCCCAAAGCTGAAAATTCTGTCTCTGGAATCTGTGACTTTTTTGGAGAAGTTCAGCTCAGCGGAGAAGAGCTTCCCTTCTGGATTAGGAACACTCGACTTGAGACATAGTTCAGGGGACACGAGTGCGTTCACCGCAATAGCAAAGACGCTGGATGGTATTGAACATCTTGGAATAAGCGACCAATTTATTACGAGTTTGCTGTTCGCAAACGATTTTGACCCGCTGATGTTAAAGCTATGGAATGTTAAAGTGCTTGAGTTCAGTTACTGCACAGCATTAACGGACTCGATGCTGGGGTTTTTCGTGRTAAGATGTCCTTTATTGAAATCGCTTTGTCTTAGACGCTGTAATACAATTCATGGTAATTCACTTTCGGTTTTGATCGACGCATGCCCTCGCCTTACATCCCTGGTGCTRGATGGTACGGCTGTAACTGATACTGTCCTCAGAATCACTGACTGGAGCAAATCGTCCATAACGGAACTTGATCTTTCTTGGTGTCGTCACCTAAGCCAYGAAGGCTTAAAAGCAATACTTAGTCGTCTTCCCAASCTTCGATACTTAAGACTGTGTTGTGTGGGATACGGACATGCGGTAACAGACGAAGTCCTGGAATCGATGGCCGAAGCTGGTACATATGACGACTTACAGATAATCGATGCTAGTTATAGTAGCCTTATTACCGATGAAGGGCTTAGTCGATTTATCGAGGTCTGCCGGGGGTTGTTGTATCTTAGAATCAACCACTGTCGGTCGACCACTCCKAGGTTAATGGATTTGTTACCTGGRGATGCAAAAGTATTTGTCGTGGCCAACTTTCCTATCGATAGCGAAGTGTCGTTTAATCGAGAGCTTCTTAAATACACTTACTGGCCGACACCAATTTTTATGAGAAACTTTGGTTTAGATGTACAGATGGGTTGGAAATGATTYMATGTCGAACAACGTCGAAACCGACAGATTATCGAAACCGATTTTGTCATAACAGCTAGCTCGAAAATCTGCACTGCATATTGTTCCTTTGGRATTTTTGCAKGCTTAACCAAAACGCTTGTAAGAATTKTCAATCCATYATGTAAATAAATGAGTTCTTCCGACTGAAGTCCTCTTCCAAGTGACTTAGAATTATAAGCCGTCACAATCTAGGATGAGGATAGATATTGTGTCCTAGTGAGTTTAATATTCTTTTAAGAATCAATTTTAAGAATCAATTTTAAAAAATTGATCGAATTGCCAGAATACATAAAGAATACTTTATTTCGCTTTACTACAAAACTTTTAGCCAATATTAATTACATAAGACTTTAACATATTAAATACAGTTTKCATAGTTACATGTATGGCTTACGCCCGTTTAGCGATTAAAATACTAAAACTTTCACCCATTAGTCAAATTCAATTCGAGAAGTAGTTTTTTAAAAACCCGTGAAATTAAAATCATAAAATATTATACAGTAGCGAAGAGCAACTMTTGTTCTATTTTGATTATAATTTATTTGTTTTTTGAGAACTAACATAAACTTGAATTGAGTTCAGTACATGTGGGATATGGCGTCTGTCTGTGACAAGCTTTAGCAGTCAGGTAAATATAATTACATTTAATAAAATTCCTTAACTTAATGCAATAAGATACTTTTTTAAAGTATTCAAAATTTAACAATTTCGTAAAATATAAATTCTAAAAATAAATCTATCTATAAACTATTGAAACAAAAATTCGTTTTTCCTACTAGAAATTTATAGCTTAATGTACAACAAACACTCAGGAAGCCCAGTCATCGTTCACATCACCGACTTGATTTACAATGCATTTTAGGATCGGTTTTTACAGAAAAGAAAAGAAATCCGCCATTTTCTGTCCCAAACACATCCTACAATGCACTGCCTTTACGGTACATGACGTAAAAGCCTCAGGTATATTTTGTTTACCAGTTTACCAGTCACTAATTCCATTGTTTTCTTGTGGATCGATTTGATTATTACTCACTGACTATTAGAATTTACATCATGGACTGATTTAATTTCTCACTGAATGCATGTCTATTGGCTTCTGTTTGTTTCTGTCCGCTTTGAGAATTCTCCAAAATATACATCCATACTTTATGACGTCATGGTGTCACGCATGCGCATCAGGTGATGAATAAAAAAGCTGAAAAAAAAACACAAAATGTTTTATTAAAAACTATTATCAAATTCATTAATGATAAAAGCAATGTYAAATTATAACAGTGACCAAAACGGATTTGTCTTGATTTTCTTGATTTTATGAGGAAATACTATGGACATTATCAATTATATAGAGGATATTACAGGGTCGCGCCGGGATACGGATATTACTTTCGAGTGTTGAAAAGATCGAACTTGTTATTTTCACTAGTGAAAATATAACAGCTTTTCGAAAGAGAGAAATATAGGTCATAGATAATTATAATGTTAAACGAGTATAATTTGAGACTTAGTAAAATGCAAGAAGACAGGGATCCCAATTGAGAAATATTCATGTTCATACGTACATTTCCACCTGGGCGTGGTCTGTAGGAAGCTAATCGTTGATAACCACGTGACATGGCAGCTAGACACCCYGCCATACTAGCCTAAAAAGAAAAAAAAGAGAAAAGTACCTAAGCATGATAAGGAARTAAAAAAGAAGAGAAATTGATAACCTCGTTCCAAGGCCCTTATCACATCGTTTGGATAAGAGCGTGAGASAAGGTTGAKAAAATGAGCAAAACTACAAGATGACCATTTCSAACGTCTTCTTAACATCGAGRTACTTTAAAAAAATGGACCATCTTTGTGAGCAGCGTGCCTTCGTTCTCTGCTCAATGAAATTATAAATATTATTTACCCTAGCAACAGCCATGCAGCCAGGCGATCCTGCACCACCTTTCCCYCCGCCACGTCCTCCTGACCCACCCCCTGTGAGTTTCTCTTCATCATCCGGTGATTCCTTTGTTTGGGCACCCTGAAAAAAAGGTTGATATAGAAATACATACATGCATCAGGAGTTTCGGACAACAATGCGCCGCCATCTTGAAAAGAGAGACCCGAGTTACATGTACTTTGTTGTGCCTTAGAACACATTTCGTAGTTGCTAAGTCAACTAATCTACATGTATCATTATATCATATTATACTAACTTGACACTACAATGCTTAGAACCTTTTAATTTCTTTGGGAGTTAGTATTCAGTGATTCGAGTTCCACTTTTCAAGATGGCGGACGCATTGTTTTCCGAATTCCTGAAGCATGCGAGCTCAAGCGACGTTGTCCTGCATGTCTTACCTTTGCCTTGGCGAGTTTTGAGCCCGCTTCGGTTGATCCTCTATCGCCCCAATCCACCTAAGACAAAGCAATTAACAACGAGTTTGCCATAATACAATGTGCACACAATACAGAAACATCTTTAATGTCTTTACAAACATTCTATGTGCAGTTAATGTGAATAAAAAAACTCAAATCTACATTCATTAAAACAAAACCTAGCATCATTTGCAGTCTACTGCAACGGAAAAGGACTTTTCTGGTCTTCTTGGCCTATCTTTGTTGATAATCTTGACCGAGATGAACTGGTGACGGGATATTTTATATCTGATAACAGGAATCCAGCGGAAAACACTTGAATGAAAAGGCAAAAAAAATCCCCAAAACGCGCCTTCTTAATGGTCGAAATGGCAGAAAATATGACTTCATTCATTCCTGGATTTTCCCAAAGTTATCTATTTTGTTTTACAAGGGTAGTTTTTCCGAGTGACTGTTTTCTATACTCACTCTGACGGGTGCTATTCCACCCACCCCTCCCCCGCCATAATACGATGCGTCGACAGTCGGCCATTTTTTCTTTCCTGGTGGTGCTTTTGGTTCCGGTGGGGGTGGTACTGGTGGAGCTGGTCTGTACTTGGGTGGCTTTGGTTTCTGCGATAAAAATTGGACGCAAATATGAAAGTTAGTTTGCACCGATATATTCTACAGAGGTTAAGGTTAATTCAAATCCTGACATGTCTAATAAACAAGTTGGCAGAAACGGTCACATGGTGCTAAATCCGCCATTCTGGAGTGCAAAATTCCTACTGGGACGTTCAAAGGACAAAGAAAAGTCAAGCTCGTCGGGCTGCGTCCCTTTTGTTGTTGTTGTTTTTTTTTTACATTCTTTTGCCATCCAGTATGGTGGATTTAGTACCATGTGACTGTTTCATGCAAAAGGTCTATTTCTGTTGGATGAAATTCATTTTTTGAAACCCACCACAACATCAATTTTCAGCAGCTGCAGCAAAAACAACAACGAAAACAACATTTCTTAAACACTGCGTCCACATATTCGGATGTGCTTGTAACAGCATCCACAGTTCTTTAAATTACTTTTA